CGTGTTATCGCGCCCCCATTGCGCGACCGCCGTTGGAGAAGGGGAGAAGTCCATGCCCGGGGCCGGAGGGGGGGTGGCGGCTCATCTCTGAGGTCTCTTTCACGGCGCAGCCTTCTGGGAGAAGGAGAAGGCAGGGGAAGGGCACGGCCACGCCCGTCGCACCGTCAGCGAGCGAGCGCTGGGAGAGGCTCATCCCTGGATGGCACCCGCAGTGCCTGGCATGTCGTCCATGCTTCCAAAAAGGGCAGCTGGGGCAAGGCGGGGCCGGCACCTCCCGGAGAGGTCGACGTCTGGGCGCAGAAAGGGCAAGCACGATCGACCATCGCCGTGAACGAGCGGAAGAACGTAATGAGAAAGGTCGGGAAGTTGGGGATAGCGCGTCCCCCCAGCGGCCCCAGCGACATGCTATGCCATGCGAGCGGATAGCGTGTCGCTCTGCTCTGCGGGGCAGGAGGCTTGGAAAAGCTTGGAGGACGTTGGTGCCCGGATACCAGGGAATTGATAGCGTGTCGCGCCGAAACGTGGCGGGCCAGAACCAACGGCGCGACACGCTATGCAAAGAATCCCGACCGTAATCGGGAGGCAAAGGAGGCAGTCGAGAAGGGCGAAGGGGGAAAAGACGACGAAGAGGGCAGATAATATAAGCGGGAGGGAGAGATGAAGCGATGGAACGGGAGGCCGAGGGGTGGAGAACAGTCATGAGGTACAGATTTAGAGGTCTGCGCGGATTTCATGGGTCGAGTCCAGAAGGCCCTGTCAGGGCGCAACAACGTCGCCGACTCAAAAAATCCGCGCGGACCTCCCACAGTCAAGTCAAGCGTATGCTGCATGCTGTTCCCTCTTCTTCGAGGCGAAAAAGCGGCGAGCGGCATTGACTGATCGAGGGCCGCTTGCGGCGGGCCTGCCTCAGGCTATATAGCAGGAGCCGAGGCGAGGGAACCGTTCGGGACGGGTCCAAGACTTGCGGAGCGGCCAAGAGGCACGCTCGTCAGGAACACCACAGATCTGGGGATCCCACGTGCAGTTGAGCAATCGGCGCAGGCGTAAAGGGTTGGGGGGCGGTTAGCAGACATAACGTGGCCTTGGCACAGTCATCGTGTCATTGTGCTACGATGATAGAGACCTCCTAGGTGGAGTCCGAGTACATGGGGTCGGAGGATCGCGCCGCATCGCCCGGTACATCGGCGATGCATCCGTGATGCATCGGCGATGCATGGGCGATGCACCAGCGATGCTCCGTCGACGTTGGCGGTGCATCGGCGACGCCAGCGTGAAGCAACTGGGTCTCCGCATCGAGCCGCATCGGCGATGCATCAACGATAGGGGCGCGATCCTTCGACCCCATCTACTCCGACCCCATCTAGGAGGCCTAGAGATGAAGACCGCGGAAGAAGGAACGCATGGGCTTTTTGTGGCCACGGTGGGCCTCTCGGCCACGACGAGGCCCCCCGACCCAGGTATGCGTGACGGCCCCGCCAAGAGTGGTCCTCACTTCAGCGCCCGAGCTGGTGGACGGAGGCCTCCTCTTCCTCCTCTTCCTCCTCCTCCTCCTCACGCCCCCTCATTGCTCCCTCCCCTTGTCGTCCTTCTCTCCCTCTCCGTTCCTCCTTCCCCTGCTCCTCTCGCTCCTCCTCCTCCTCCTCCTCCTCCTCCTCCAGCAGCAGATGGAGGAGGGGCAGGATCAGGAGCAGATGCTGGAGGAGGGGAGGGCGGAGGGCGATGGTGAGGAGCAGCAGCAGCACCACCACCATAACCAGTGTGAGGAGGAGCCTCTGCTATGGGACCTGCTCGGTGAGATCGGCGCGTCGGCACCCTCTGTCGAGGCAGCTACCACTTGGAGGCGCAGCGGGTGCTGGCATGCTGAGGAGAGAAAGGGCATTTCAAAGGAGATCGCCCTTTAAGGCGCACGCCTTCCAAATGGTGTGGGGGACTTCTTAGAAGGCCGCCTCCTCGCCGTGCCCCCTTGACCGGGCTGCCAGCGCACGGGCCTTGATCCACCATTTTCCTCAACGCAACGCGATGCACATCGGAAAAGCATCACCGGCGCTTGAACAAGACAACAACTACGATAAGCACCACAAGCAGAACTGCGAGCAAGACCAATTGCAGCATCCTCTTGGTGGTTCGCTGCTGCCGCTCGTTGTGCCGGACCACCTCTCGGCTGGCATCCCTGGCACTCTCCGAGGCCGAATCGATCAGAGACAGTATGTTGCTGACTGACTCACCCTGGCTCGTGGTGATCCGAGCCAAGTCGGAAACCACCTGGTTCATCTGCTGCACGTTGGTATTCACCCTGACGGCGTCCCGGGCGTAATCCTCCGCGAGCTCTGCGTGCGTCTCGACCTCCGCCTGCGACACGTCCTGGACCTCCCGCGCCACCGCCCGCAGGCCCTGCTTGGCCTGCCGCGCGCGCTCCTCTGCCTCGAGGGAGTACCGTTTCCCTTCGGCTCTCCTCCTACTCCTCCTCCGCCTCCTGCCCCTCCTCCTCCTCCTCTTCGTCCTCCTCCTCCTCCTCCTCTTCGTCCTCCTCCTCCTCCTCCTCCTCCTCCTCCTCCTTCCCCTCCTGCCCCTCCTCCTCCTCCTCCTCTTCCTCCTGCCCCTCCTCCTACTCCTCCTGCCCCTTCTCCTTCTCTGCGTCCCTCTTTGCCGCTGGGCTTCGCTGCATGGTGAAACGTGCGCTCCTGTTCCGCCTGCGACGCAACCAGCACGGCGGCCGCCGCCGCGTTGTCGCGCCTCTTGCGCCCCTGCTCCGCCGCCTTGTCTCAAGTCGGGCGAGTCCTCCTACAGGCGGATTTTGGGCGAAACGTGAAAAACGCCCCGAGAATGTCAACAGAATGATCAAAAATACGGAAAAATCGTCCCCAGACTATGTTTGGGCTGTTTTTGATAGTTCCTCCTGTAGAGGGACACGCCCGACTGCAGCCTTGTACTCTCTGCTCGCGGCCGTGACCGCGCTGCTGGCGTCCGCGAGGCTCTTCTCGACACTGCCCTGCTCGGGCCGGGCGTCGGAGAAGCTGCCCCCCCCCGAGGCGGGCATGTCCGCGAGGATGCGCCTGGCCTCCTCTTGGCTCGCCTGGGCGGACCTCATGGCCTCCAGAGGATCGCCAAGTGAACAAGAAGCAGAAATTATACCGGAGAAAAAAAACCCAATCAATGGATGGTTTCAAATGGGATCGATAAAGAGATCGCTAAGAAAATCGTCCGGAAATGCAAATGCTGATGGGCAGAGCACAACACTTGATCAATCAGCTAAAACGGTTTTCTCTCAGTGGGCCGTACGTGCGCCCATGGTGGTCAGTGAAACTGCCGGCGTACAACACTGCATCATGCAATCAAGTAGTCAGGGCAGAAATACACAGCATGTGCAACGATGTACGAAACAGTCTGCACAGCGTATTTTCCAATGCCTTGAAACATAGCTGCCATGGCAAAAGGTGGTGGGGAAACACGAGCCTCGCAGTTTTGCATGGCATGCAGTGGCTAAAGAAAAACAATATCCTGGCTATCGCGACTGCCCACGATGGTGGCGTTTGCTTGGTCAGTGAGCTTGCGATGCGGCCGCTGCTGTTGGAGACGCTGCAGCCGCCCGTACACGAACCATGCGAAAAGCCAGACACACGTGAGATTGTGAAAGGGTACCTGGGACTCATGGCAAAGCTAGCGCGCAAATTGGGAGAGGACGGCATTCGCAAGACTGCATGTCGATCTTTGTCTACGTCTTGCAGGACAGACCGTTTGATAAGCAGATTGTTACGCACGATCAAAACCCACAAGCACGCAGGCGATGAGTCTCTGAGGCTCATCCACTCAGGAAGCCAACACCCATTCAGCGTAGGATCGGGAATCATCCGAATGATTCTCCAAAAACACTTGGCTGTAATCCCGCACCTCGTGGAAAACACAGACGAGCTACAGCAGCTGCTTCGCAGCAGGGCTTTCTCCAGCAGCTGTTGGTTTGTCAAAATGGATATCACAGACTTCTACCTAATGGGTGCTCATGATCACATTGTGAATTCAATTTTGCATTTGTTGGATGAGGATGCTAGAGAGGAGTATGCCGACCTTCTGCGTTACATCCTTCACCATCAATATGTGCACAGTAATCATTTAGGCCCAGAGGAATTCTGGCACGTGAATACCGGCAGCGGGATTGGACAATCGCACAGCGGCGAACTCAGCGATTGTTTCTTTTACCTGCTGGCAGAAAAGGCTTTTGCAGCGAACCCAAGTGTCCAACGGCAGTATGGCATAGAAGCATATATCAGGTACCGCGATGATATGTTGGTTATCTGTGCATGCAAAACGCTGTTTGGAGAGTGGTTCAGAGCTCTGAAGGCAAAGGTGGAACACGTGTACAAAATGGCACTGGAATCTTGGAGTAAGAGTGAGATCAATATGTTGGACATCACAGTTACCAAAGGTGTGCATTTTGCCAGGTGTCGGATCCTTGACGTTCGACCATACACCAAAATTACGAGCCAACGCGTACCCTTGACGGGCCTCTCCTCTCACCCTCCCTCGGTCCACCAGAGTTGGCCACCCGCAGAGGTTGCGAGACTGAGGGCCCGAAGCAGCTCCAGGACGATTTTCTCGCAAGCGAAAGATAAAATGATGCAATAGTTTGTCAGCAATGGTACATCAAATACTGTGCTTGACAAAGCCAAAGCAGTAGAGTTTCACCGCTGTCCAGATACGAATTCGCCGGCACCGCCTGCCGCAGACCAACACGGCAGGAAAGATGTTTGGCTCAGGTTGCCATTCTCCCCTCTTCTCTGGCGGAGTGGCGCCCAACGAGCCCTCAACGAAGTGCTTGCCCGATGGTTGCCCCTGATCCCAAGGATCCAGGGTAAAATCGTCGGCTTCAGAATTGCATGGTGCGCGGGAGGCCCTTCGATACAGGGGCTCTCGATTAATGGTTGGTGTCTGGGGTAGGTAGGTGGGTAATGCTATTACTATTGCATCACATGTCTTGCGTAACCATTTGGGCTCAGAAGCCCAGCACGGCGCTTACAGGCCCGAAGGGCCTGTCGCTCGGACTGCGGGCGATGGTGTGGCAGTAGTTCTGCCACGGTGCAATCGGAAAAAAGTTGTCTGTCCCAGTGCAAAGTTTTGAGGATCGCCAAGTGAACAAGAAACAGAAATTATACCAGAGAAAAAAACCCAATCAATGGATGGTTTCAAATGGGATCGATAAAGAGATCGCTAAGGAGATCGTCCGGAAACCCGGGAACCCAAATTCCACCGAAATCGGGCCGGAACCAATGACCAAGAACCCGGGAACCCGGAACCGGGAATCCGGGAACCCAGCCGGCCACCAAAATCGGCGGGACACTTTCGCCAAATCTTTCAATTCCCGCTCGGACCCCTTCAGTGCAAGCACTGAGTGGGGAACTTCGGGAGGCCCGCGCGGCCTTCTTGGATCGGCGCTGGACATGGAGCCCCCTCCCTGACGCGCGGAAGCCTGCCAGGGACGGCGCCAGAGACGACGCCAGGGGGGTCCAGCACCGATCGCAGAAATCCGCGCGGTTCTTCCGGTTGCGCGATGCAGCATCGCCAGGGAGGCGGCGCGGTCTTCCGAAAGTTTTTTTGGATGCTTACGTATGCGGTCAGGAATTCTCGCTTGACGTGTCGCCGAGGCGGCCCAGCGACACGCCATGCCCTGCGAGCTGGTCGCGTGTCGATCCACGCTCAGGCGGGTGCGAGAGGCTGTGAAAAGCTCGCGGAGATGACGCCTGGGGACTGGGAAGTGATTGGCGCGTCGCGCCGATGCGCGGTAAGACAGAACCGGCGGAGCGACACGCTGAAGAAAAGGTCCCGACGTGATGTTTTTGTTGACGAGCCTCGCTGACGCGCTTCTTGCCCCCCGCGCAGACGCTCGCGGTGGCCAGCGCCGCGGCCTCCATCCGGATGTCGGCGGCGGACTGCTGGATGCTCTCTATCAGCTGCTTCGCTCGCCGACCGGGTGCTGCCAGAGGTGTCCCTTGCCTGGGGTGCTCCCAGTTTGTCGCTCCATCTTGGGGCCCCCGCGAGGCACAGATTCTTCAGCTTCTCAACGTGTTCCCGCTGGACTGCTTTTCTGCCCAGCGGACTGGTTTCTTTCCCGGCGGAGCGCTTGGAAAGAGTCCAGGTTGATACGGTTTCCATGGGAAGTTGTGTGCGTCGACTTCGCGACCTTCCAAAATCAATTCAACAACCTGCAACTTAGAGTCGCAAGCAGAACACCTGGGAAATCAAAAACCCAACGGAGGAAAGTTCGGATACATGTATAAACCAACGGGTCCAATTGAAGATATACATACATGTACATGGTATCCCTATGCGGGCCAGTCGCATACTCAATGCAGGGCAATGCGATTGCAATACAACGCAATGAAACGCAATGCGATTGCAAATCAATGCAAAGAAATTCAACGCAATGGCATTGCAATGCAACGCAATGAAATGCGATGGGATCGCAATGCAACGGGGGTGTGCAACGGGGCGGTGGCGACGGACGGGAACGGGCTCGCTGGACCCGCACTCGGGCCTCTTCTTAGGAACATTGGAGCGGCGACGGACGGGAACGGAACCGCCGGCGCCGCACACTTGCCATGCTCGTTAAAAGAGGAATTAGATACCCTAAGTGCAGGCGCTGCTCGGGGAACTACTGGGAAAGAGACCAGAATGCGGGGAGGGGACCCAGCTCACCAGGAAAACTAACATAAGCGGATGTACCCCTGACCACCGCCTGCGGGATCGACTTTTGGGAGCCTCGGCGGGTGGGGGGTGAGATCGGAGTGAAACCGAGCCCCGCCCCCCACCGGGAAGTCGGTTCCCCGACGTCAGGATCTTGGGGAAAGCTGGGGGGAACCCTGGGCCTGGGACACCCCTGGGCAGCGCCCGACGCTTGCTGCTCCGCGCGTACGCCTGAGGGGCAACGATAGAGGGGGACCATCCCAGGTTGGAACAGTCAACCCCGAGTCGGCGATACATCGCCGATAGATCGCCGACAGGCCCACGATGGTGAGCAGGCACGCTCCTGGGCGGGTTCGGGCTATCGGGCCCCTATCGGCGATCAGAGTGCACTTGGGGGTCGATGTGTCCCCTCTGAGCCTCAGCCCCCCTTCCTCCTCCTCCTCCTCCTCGTCCTCCTCCTCCTCCTCCTCCTCCTCCTCCTCCTCCTCCTCCTCCTCCTCCTCCTCCTCCTCCCCCCTCCCAATCGTTGCCCCGAGCGCCGAGCCCGCGCCGGGCGGCGCGAAGATCGGGGAGCCCAGGGCGGCGCACAGGTCGGGCTGGTAGGAGGAGGACAGCGCGAGGCCGCCGGCGGGCGGGGAGGCCATCGCGAGCGTGCGGCGCGCGTCCGCGCCCGCGACGGCGGCCAGGTGGGCGTTGATTAAGGAGCAGGGGGAAGGAGAGGGAGGAGGAGGAGGAGGAGGAGGAGGAGGAGGAGGAGGAGGAGAAGGAGGAGGAGGAGGAGGAGGAGGAGAAGGAGGAGGAGGAGGAGGAGGGGGAGGAGGACAAGTTACGTGCGCTCGCGTCAACATCTGACATCCTAACCCCTCCCTCCCATCCCTTACCATGGCGCTGACTTTCTCTATCCGCGGACGCGTGTCGTAGCGGACCTGTGGCTCCGCGCGCGTGTGCGTAGTGGGTGGTGGTGCGCGTGCGTGCGTGCGTGTGTGCGTGGTTGTGGTTGTTGTGGTGGTGGTGTGTATGTGTGTGCGTGTGTGCGCGTGTGCTGTGGTGTGACGTGGTGTGGCGTCTTGGTGGTTTGGTGGTGGGCCAGGTGCGTACGTGCGTGATGGCGGTGGTGGTGGTGGCGGTGGTGGTGCGTGTGTGTGTGTGTGTGTGCGCGTGTGTGTGTGTGTGTCTTGGTGGTTTGGTGGTGGGCCAGGTGCGTACGTGCGTGATGGCGTTGGTGGTGGTGGCGGTGGTGGTGCGTGTGTGTGTGTGTGTGTGTGCGTGTGTGTGTGTGTGTGTATGTGTGTGTGTGTGTGTGTGCGTGCGTGCGTGCGTGCGTGCGTGCGTGCGTGCGTGCGTGCGTGTCTGTGTGTGCGCGCGTGTGATGTGGTGTGACGCGGTGTAGCGTGGTGGTGGTGGGTGGGGTAGTGCGGTGGTGGTGGCGGTGCGCGGTGGTGATGCGCGTGCGTGCGTGCGTGCGTTGGTGGGTGGAAGTGGCGGTGGGTGTGCGTGCGGCGGGGCGGGGCGTGGTGCGGCGCGGTGGTGGCGGGCGGATGGGCGCGCGAGAAAGAGGCCCGCGCTGGGGCGAGAACGCCATCCTGAACGACGGAGGCAAAACACCGATCCGAAAATGAGGCCCACGCTGCAGCGGAGCACGATTCGGAACGATTCGGGAGCAGAAATGAGGCCGGCGCCTCAGCGAGAGCAGCATTTTGAAAAAAAACGCAGGCGAAAACCCAACTCCCGGGAATCCTGTGTAAAAAACAATACGCGGGGGGGGTCGAATACTTTCAGGCCGCCTTCGGGGGAAGAGGGAGAGTAGTATTCATATTGAGTAATTGTGGAGGAGGAGGAGGAAGAGGAGGAGGAGGAGGAGAAGGTATAGGAGGAGGATAATGGGGGGGGCGATGAACGAGGGGGCGAAGAAAGGTACACCTGTTGGGCCCTAGAGGGCCCCCAAGGTGAACACAGGGCGCACCTTTCTTCCCGATTCCCCCGCCCCCCCCCCAAACGCCCACCATTGCACGCTGCCCAAGCCAGGCGTGCGGCCCGCAAACTGGGGCGCCCCAAGAGGGCGCTACCACCGACAGGCCCAGAGCCCCTCGCGTGGTGAAAACATCACGGCGGGAAGTTTCTTGCAGTGTTCGCCCTCAGGGGGGGCCTCAACGGGCTCCAGGACCGTCGAATAATGACTCAGGATGAAAAGCCGGTCCCCGAGAAGGGGTCCAGACCTCGGGGAACCCACGTCACGAAAAGGTCACGACGTCAGGTGTCTGGGGAGGGGGTGTGGAAGACGAGGGCTTTCGTCCTCAACTTCTCAACCCCAGCGTTCACATGCCAGCAGAGTCAGACTTGCCAAGGTGGCTGCAATACGAATTCTACGCACTCCCCTCTCCCTCCCGCTTGCGGCTGGAAGCGCCTGCTCTGCATGGCGAACGTATTTGCCAGGAGGGGGCAGGGAGGGGAAATGGAAGGCGAGGAACGAGGAGGAGATAGGACACGAGGAGGGGAGAGGCGGGCGGGGAGCGAGGAGGGGGAGAGGAGAGCCAGGTCGAGGGCAGGCACGTGGCCGCGTGCAGGCCTGCTGATCGCGGTAACCGTCTGAGCGCGCAACGCTGGACAGCCCAGCATTGCCGAAGACACAGCGGAGGCAATCTACAAAAAAACCTTCCAAAAGAAACCCAACCCTGAGACCCCAGGGCTTCCATGGATCTTTAATGTGGGAACGTCACGCTTTCAATCGCAAAACCATAGAAACCCAAGAAACCCAGGACACCCTGGAAGCAAGCGAGGTGTTTCTTGGCATGGGCCTCCACTGTAACGCAAGCACACGCTGTCGGAAGTCCACGAGGACTTATTGCATCTGCGCTGGACACCCTCCGTGGCGCGCAGGGCGCGCCAGGGGCGGCGCTAGAAGCGCTGCCGGGGGGTCCAGCACAGATCTAAGAAATCCGCGGGGAGCTTTGACAGTTTGTCTTTAATGCGCTTTTGCCTTTTGGTAACACCATTCGAGCGTGAGCTGGAGAACTGAGGGGGATCCCAGGAGGCAGGTCATGGGTGCGGGCATCCAGTCCTCCTGCGAGGCGGCCCAGGAGCGGACAACGCGCCAGAACCAGCAGACCACCTGGCGAGGTGTTGAAGCGAGGAGAGCGGAGAAGCTGGGAATGTGAGGAGGGCGGGGGAGGCGCCGGGACAAGAGATTCGATGAGCAAGGGTGAAAGGTGGAGCGCCAGGAGCGAAGGGGGTGGTGAAGAACGGGAGGAAGGCCGGGGAGAGGAGGAGCGGAAGGGACAAAGACGAGGAAGGGGCGAAAACACGCGGAGGAGACGGAGAGAGCGGCGAGAAGGAGGAAAAGGGGAGGGAAGGAGTAAGGCTGGGGCCAACTAAGGGCCTCCTTCACCTCCTCCGCCTCCTCCTCCTTCTCCTGTTCCTGTCTCTTGGCCCGATGCTTCACAACGTGGCTGCCAGTGCTGCGGGGGACCAGGTGGCCCACACCAAATGTCACTCTTTGCAAAGAACCTGGGGGGACTGACATTTGGAAACTCCGTGAAAGTGGAAATGGCAAGGTCTTGAAGAACTGGCAGGGGCTGTCGTCTCCCCCTTCCGCCTCCTCCTCCTCCTCCTCGGCCTCCTCCTCCACTTGTTTCCCTTATCACTAAACTCTCCTTGTCGCACACCGAGGCCAGTTTTTAGGGCAGGCCAGGCGTTTCGCCTGAGAATGCGCCACCATTTATGACCCTGAAGCTTAAACATTGGCAACAACTTCACAGATAGAGGGCGGTTGGTTTTAAACATGTGGTTCTCGCCTTAGCGCCGCGCAAATTCTTTCTAAAACGTTGCGAATAGTTTCACGGGTTGAGGGCGACTGGTTTGCAACATGTGGCTCTCGCCTTAGCGCCGCGCACATTCGTTCTACAAAATAGCAAGAGCTTCACGGATTGAGGGCGGCTATTTTTTGAAAACGTGGCTCCCGCCTTAGCACCGCGCACATTCGCTTTACAAAATAGCAAGAGCTTCACGGATTGAGGGCGGTTTCTTTTCAGAATGTGTCTCGGCCTTAGCGCCGCGTAGATTCGTTTTCCAAATTTGCTGGAACTTCACATATTGATGGCGGTTTCTTTTCAAACTGTGGCTCTCGCCTTAGCGCCGCGCACATTTGTTTATACAGTTCACAATAGTTTCGCGAATTCCGATGCTCAATGTACCAGAGATGGTGTTGTGAAAAGATTCAGGATTATTTGGGCGCAAGGGTTACGTTGATTCGCGGTGCTGAAGTCCCAGGAATCGCGTTCTGATGCGATCCAGGCTCGTCAAGACGCAACAATTACGTTGATCCGTGGCGATGGAATCCAGAGAACAATGATTTGGCATGCTTCAGAATCGTCAAACGGTTGTCTTCCGACGAAGCAGTTCCCTCAGTGGAGATGAACCGCTGTGGGAGCCTATGAAGGGGGAGCTTGGAGGGATGGTTCATTCCAACATCGTTGATGACTCTTGAGTTTGCACTGGTCCATCCCTCCTCCTCCTCATCCTCATCCTCCTCCTCCTCTTTCTCCACATCTCCCCCTCATCCGCCTACCCCTCCCCTTCCTGCCCCCCTCCATCTACTAGATTTATCTTGGCGCCTAAGCCCCCGAATTCGCACTTTGAGTGACACTTGGCGCAAACTTTCAATTCCAGCGCCCTTCCTCCACCACTCTGCCATTTGTTAAGGTCTTGCCCCACCTCATTGCCTTATATATTTCTTCACTACCCCTGCTATCTCGCTTCCTACCTGGATGATCCCGATTGCACCAAACCACCGTGGAAGAGACCCCCTACTGCAGATCTCCGAGGGAGGTGGTTGTGCCCACACAGCGGCATCGACTGCTACGCTTCGCGCATGTTAGTGTATCTGCGCCTCCGCATCCTCATGTTGCAATTGGTACAAGACCATACTGCCGACCATGTTTCGCACGCTTTGCGAACTTCAAGACGCATCTTGGCAGCAGTGTCGGCAGTCCTTCGTACTGTCCACGCGTGTCCAAGCACGAAGCAAACACTTCCAGGACGCAGTTCCTGCATACAGCCACGCCTCCATCCGAGGCGCGGAAGTAAGGAAGCAGCCAAGCAGCAAGACCGGCGGTTCTGCTTACTGAGATGGAAGTGACTGTGTCTTACCCCCAGGGTGGATTCCACACAGGGACCAGGCACCCTACAAGGCTGTGTGATCAGCCAATGTCCTCCTTCTCATCAGCCTCCTCCTCATCCTGAAACAAAAACGCAGGATAAACTCACATGAGCTGCCTGGGCGGATTTCTTGCATCGGCGCTGGACCCCCCTCCCTGGCGCGCGGTGCCCGTCCAAGAAATCCGCGCGGAGCTCTGAAAATTAATGCTTATTCAATGCTTCCTCCTCAGGCCATCAAAGAAGAACGTTAGATGCGTCAGTATCCTCCTCTTCCTCCTCCTCCTGCTCCTCTTCCTCCTCCTCCTCCGCCTCCTCCTCCTCCGCCTCCCATCCTCCTCCTATTTTTATCCTCCTCCCATTATATTCCTCCTCTTCCCCCCCCCCCTCCTCCTCCTCCTCCTCCTCCTCCTCCTCCTCCTCCTCCTCCTCCTCCTCCTCCTCCTCCTCCTCCTCCTCCTCCTCCTCCTCCTCCTCCTCCTCCTCCTCCTCTCATCCTCCTCTTCCTCCTCCCACAGACGCCCGTTGACGATTGTTGTTCCATAAGATTGGCTCCCAGAGGTCTGGACCACTTCCCCAAGACCAGCTATTCATCCTGACTCGTTGTTTTGACGGTCCCGAGGCCCAGTACAAGGGGCGCCGGAAGCCGAACCTCAATAACACCAACATGCCGTCGCAACTGTTTACGGACACTAGGGGATATGGGCCGTCTTCTCCTCCTCCGCCTCCCCCTCGTTATCCTCCTCCTCCTCCTCCTCCTCCTTCTCCCCGTCGCTCGCCCCTCAAGCATTGGGGGTCAAGCTTTCTGGCCTCCTTCCACTGTGCCTCAGCGCGGCACTTGAGAGACTAGATTTCGAGCGCGCCCACACACACACGCACACACACACACGCACATACACACACACACACACACGCACACACACACACACACACACACACACGCACACACACACACACTCACACACACACGCACACACACGCACACACGCACACACGCATACTGCACATGTTTGCGCTCAATCTCGACCAAACCAGGGGAGAATATTCGAACCAATGGCATGTGGCGCGTCGGCGCCCAGAGGTCGAGGGCCGTGGTCCAGGTGCCCCGACTGTGGAGCCTACGAGTACAATCAAGTGTTGGCCAAAGCTGGATGCATCTGCCGTGGGTGCAGTTCCCGCGCACCTCTGTACAAGGCTCGCTCGACATCGAAAGGACGATCGGTCAGCTTCGACCGGACGAACGGCGACGATGAGCAGCTGGAGGTCCCCAGCGGGACCCGCAGGAGGGACAACCAGGGCCGCGACAACGCTGAGGGCGGTCCGCGCGGCGCGGGCTCTGGCGTAGCCGCCGTGTTGCAGCAGGCTCGCAAGGACACGGATGACCAGGAGCGCATGGGGCTGACTGCATCAGCGGGTGGCCAAGCTCACGGCCGAGTCTGCGAAGCCCGGGGACGAGCCGTCCCTCGTCGAAGCGCTTCGTCGTGCCGACGGTGCTTGCAAAGATGCGGAGCACCGCCATGGCCAGCAAGTCTCACATGTGGTTCGGCTGCGCAAGCAGTTACTGGCGGCTGAAGAGAAGGACGCGAAGGCTGCGCGCGCGGTCGCCGATGCGGCCATCGCCCGCAGGGCGGCTGCCCAAGCTGTGGCGCACGCCGAGGGCGTGCAGCCGCTGCCCCCTCCCGAGCACCCGCAACGGCGACAGCCCGTCGAAGCCGATGTTCCAGGTCAGCTGCGACAGAGAGTGCTTCGAGCAAGTAGAAAGCATGGAGTGCGAGGTGCAAGGCACGGAGGCGCTGAGAGACACCAGCAGCCATCCTGGGGCCACGCAGGGCGCCATGGCCTCGAAGGAGGCGGAGGCGAAGGCGTGGCTCGAGCAGATGGAGTCCGCCAGGCGCGACATCGAGAAGAGGCTGGAGAGTTGGCGGCGCGCACAAGGGGGTGGGGGGAGGGCTTCTTAGAAGGAGGCTGCTTTAGAAGGAGGCTGCTTCTTAGAAGGCGCTGGCCTCACATCTACAGAAAAGGCCCGCGCCTTCTAAGAAGCAGGGGTGCTTCTAAGAAGCCCTCCCCCTCCCCCCACCCCCGGTGCGCGTGGCTGAAAGAGGCGCGGTGGGGATGGCCAAGCAGCGGCAAGCGGCAGCGACGGGCAGTCGTAGCAGTCGCAGGCGGCGGGAGGGGGCTGCCCAGGCGCCGCCGCCAAGGGGGCGTTCCTGCCGAGCCGTCCGCGGCCGCATCTGCCGAGGCCAAGGCTGCCGATGACGATACGGCGAAAGGGATCTCCGAGGAAACCAAAATGATGGGCATGTTTTCCACCAACACCACCGTAAGTTGGAGGGGGGAAGGGGTCCTCCTCCTCCTCCTCCTCCTGCTCCTCCTCCTCCCACTCCTCCTCCTCCTCCTCCTGATTCCCCCTCCGACGTATGGTGGTGGTGGGAAGCAGGCCGATCACAAGATGTTGTCGGACGCCAAGTCCATGGCCGAGAGCAAGAAGCATGATGGCAGGAGCGTGGGCCATGGCTTCGACTCTCAGGCTGAAGCTACGGACGGCTCTTGACTAGGCACGCCAGGTGAAGAGGGGACGCATAGCCGATGGCTCTATGCCAACATCACGTGCATGGGGGAAGGCTGAAGAAGTATGATGCCAAGACTCAGGGGAATGGCCTACGCTCGTTCACCAATGCTGCTCGGCCGTCAACCAAAGCGGAAGTTACAGTTGGCACCGCCAGGGAGGCGCTGATGGAGCACCCAAATGAGGGCGGAGAGTGATCCATGTCCAGTGGGCACTTGCCGTCACGTCGTCTTCCCACTGCCAGGCTAGCGGTAGGCAGATGGCATGCGCCTCACCATCCGAAATGCGTCGATGGTTATCTTGTCACAATGTTTCGCTTTGCTGGGCTCAGCATGGCAATGCTTATTTTCTATGCGCGCAATAACACTGGGCTCACGGGAGCCAGCGCAAGCAGGTGTCAGCATCCTGCAGGCCCCTTGTGGTCTCTCCAGCTCCCCTGGATAAGGGGGTGTGACTTTGGCACGGGCCCTCAGCCCTTCGAGAAGCCAGGCATCGCTCGCCGTTCGTAAGCAATGGTGTTGCAAGCAGAAGGAGCTGTGACGTGTGAGATTGGCTCGGGCACGGTGACTAAGTATCTCCTGAGCAGTCCGTCGGCAATGCCATGTGTTGCATCAAACCGTCCTGCCATCTCAGTCCCAATGAAGCCTCACGTTGGCCTCGAGATTGTCATACGTCATTCGGGAGAGCAGCTTCTCACGAGGATGCTGGAGACTCCTGGTCGGCGCTCTCAGGCTCCCAGGCCTTGTAAAGAGGCCACGGAGGGTTCTAAGGCTGAATGAGGGTCGAGTTCAGCATCAGCTCTCTGTAGAGAAGCGGGCTGTTAAGTTTTCTCCTTTGTCCGAAAATTGCTGTCTCTCGGAGCAGTCCAAGGCGTGCCCTGAGGCCGGGGAAGGTGCGGCAAAAGACCCTTCGGTCGCTAGGGTAGAGGGGGGCCTGCTACTGAATCGTTTGGTTGTGATGAATGGCCTGAGGAAGAGGACCCATGGGCGGGTGAGCTCAATTCCTGTCCCGACTCCTCTCCCCTGGCCGCTTCGACCTTGCAAGGTAATTGTTGGAATAGCCAAGTTCTCCAAGGGTCGGTTGCATCCGAGCCTGGGCCCCGTAACTGGTCTCACGACGTGTCCAGCGGCGTGCCTGACGTGTCCAAGCAGTGTGGGGTGGAGCCACTGACAGCTCCTGCGCCTGCTCTTGGCCATCCTCAGCCGCAGGCCCTCGACTCCTCTCGTGCTGGAGGCCCTTTAAAGGGCTCGGGCTGGAGGGGGAAAGCTCTGGAGGGGGCCCGTCGTTTGCCATCCCGTCTGGCCTATGGACCAGGCGAAGTAGAGATGTTGGGTGTAGTTTTGAGGCCGCCTCGCTTCAGTCTCTTGCTCCTGCTGTGCGTAAATCCGTAGCCGCTTCGCTCAAGCCAGCTAAGCTTGAGACTAGTTCAGGCCTCTACGCCTCCTGGGTGCCTGCTGTCGAACACACAATCACTTATCATTGGCCCTTCGAAAGCTGAGGGCCCTAAGGTCGCAGTGACTACCGTGAAGATGCCGCAGAACATTCGCGCTGCACCTCTTCGTGACCAGGTAAGTGGCTGGAGGACTCAGCTGAACACTCTGCTAGGAGGCGTGCTGTTGCATCAGGAGAAAGACAATGGCGCTCTGCAGACGAAGCGCTGCATCATGGCGCGTGCAATGCGTCTAGCTGACCGGGCAGAGCACGTATAACGGGTGCCCATTGACGGTCGGGACCCCCCGTGGGCAGAGTGGGAGAAGGTCTTCAATGGGGCTGTCAGGCTGTCTATCCCAGTGCTCGCCAGCTACAAGGCTAACTCCAGCCGCACCATGGGGAGGGCTCAGCGTAGAGCCGTTCGTGACAATCCCAACGAATCCTACTTTTGGCTGAATCACCGGTTACACCGAGGACCGCGAAATCCTAGCACGTCCTTTTTTTTGATATGCAGATATGTATATATATACATCAAGAAAAACACATTCAAAACGGCACGGGTTGCGGAAACGACCCAAAAACGTATAACGTCATGCTCATGCATGCGACAAGTCCAGTCTAGTCTCACGGTCTTAATTCTCGGAAATCGACAGATTCGGGCTAGGGAAAATCAACAAACTCGATCACTCTGCCTCCCTCCACCGCCCCCTCTCCCTCCTCCCCCCCCGAGAGGAAGGAGGCCAGAGAAGGTGGATGAGGAGAAAACAAAAGGAGGAGGGGGAACAACATCATCGCAAGTCAGGCGCACTCCCTCTCTACTGGCCTCCGACGACTCGATTTGTTCAAGTCGTTGGGTCCTGAACCTTTCGGCCCCCTCCCAAAGATTTGTTTTCTATCCCTAATCGTGTTTCGACAGTCCCCGAGACTGGATCAGCTGGCGCGATTTTTCAGACCTCCAAAGGTCTGAGCCCCCGGCCCCCCCCGAGGACTTCCAGAGGCCTCCTATACTCCCAATCGAGGTCCCCATGAGATGCCTGGAGGCCTCTGCAGACCTCCACAGGCACTCCGAAGGTCAAAATCAGGTACAGAACGGGGACATCCCAAAATAGAGAGACAATAAATGGCATATGCAGAAAATCCTCCTGTCCCGGGGCTTCGTACACGGGGGCGCAACTACACGGGGTGTTAGGTTTGTTCACATGCTCCCGTTTACTATGTCCCCACATACGGCGCCCAGGGCCCCCTTAAACGGGGGCATACCCAAATGTGGGACTCGGCGTTCCCCATGTCCCCGCTTGCTTAAAAAAAAGGCCCAAGAGACAGGGGGCCCTTCCTGAGCCCAACGTGGATCTAATCGTGTTGCCTGCAATGCGTGTTCGACCGCATGATCGGCGGCGACGATAGAGGCGAATAGCCCAAGGGCGGACATTACACGCATTCGCCCGGGAGCCTTTTCGAAAACATAGGTCATCGGCGCACCTGAATACATGTATTACTCCCCCCTGGGCTGTTCGCCACTATCGTCGCCCCGGACATGACGAGCGCGCACTTCTTCCCAGCGCCTCCGCTTCCTTCTGCCCTCTCTCTCTCTCTTGCTCCCTCTCCCTCTCGGTCCGCGCCTCGCTCTCGCGGGTCAGGTCCATGGCGTAGGCCGCGTGCTTTTCCCAGTCGTCCACGCTGGAGCCGGAATGTTTTTCAGCGTGCTGATATACATCACTACAGACAGCACGCACACACAAACGTGCTGAAGTCCGCGGGGATTTCTCGGATCGGCGCTGGATCCCACCTACCCCTTCCTGACGCCTGCCGCCAGGGGGGCTCATCGCCGCCCCGACATGTGCGCGCGGACCTCCAAAATGTATGAATCTACCGCGTTTTCTTCGTCGAATGCCCGGGCGGGGGGGGGGGCGCAGGAGGCCAACGCGGAATGCCTGGCTCACCGCTTGCTGCAGAGGATCCCGTGGCCCCTGCCACGCATGGGGCCAGCAGCGACGCCCTCACTTCCCAGAGGCTTGGTGCGGCCCCAGCTCAGCCTCCGCCCTGGTCCATCCGCCCCCTTGTTCAATGTGTTGGACAATGTTTAAAACTCTGGCCATACATTGAACCTGAGCTTCTTGCGTCGCGAAGAACAATGCGAGGCCCCAAAGAATACAATAATAACGCGTGGGTGGCGCAGGGCCAAAAAGAAAAACGCATCGAGATGGAAAAAACAGGGCCCGCAATGGCATAGAGTATGCGCCAGCCACGCGGTGACGTCCCTCTCCCCCCTCCCTCTCCCCCCTACACATCTCAGAAATCAAGAATCATCCCACCCACCAACACCCCCCAAATCAAGGACCCTCGCCGAGGGCAATATCTAATCTGCGCTGCTCTGACCCGCGGCTGGTTCCGCGAGGCCTGAAATAAACTCGATGCTCTCCAACCTCCGCCCCACCACTCCTAACATCCCTCCCGCGAGAACCTACCCTCCTCAGCGCCAGGCTGGGCAATTCGCCTGGCTTGCCTAAGTGGCAATGTGCAACACGCGGTTTTCTTCCGTGGGAGGCTGGCTTAGACGGTACCAGCTGGCCTGGGGCAGAAACATACTGTAATCCTATTATCTTTGTTGACCAATACTGCTGGCTGATGGAACATGTATATCGTGCCTGTTTATCGTTGGCGCCGCTGCGCTGCAACGTGCATCACATCGTCCAGAGGCTCGGTCCACACGGGTTGCAAAGAATGCAACCGACTGCACGCAGCGGGCGCCGTCTACTCCCCCATCCCCAGCCGCCATCAGTGCCGTCATCATCCCCAGACTCCCCCTCCACGCCTCAAGCACTACGGCCATTGGCAGAAAGACACGGCCTGCCATGTGCAGATGCCGACCCCATAGCGTCTCGGGCGCTACTGCGCTCGAGCATATACCGCGACATCAGGTGGTCGGTCGACTGCAGGTTGCAGAGGAAGCACCAAACTCTCGCAACGAAGCCTCCTGTTCCACCCCTACCAGACTCCCCGTCCTCTCCATGACCTCCGATCCTTCCCCTCCTCAAGGGACACCTCCCATGACATCCACATAACCACCACCAAAGCAAACATTGCAGCCGATGCCGTTCCCTGGCTGCGTGGTCGCGCGTGCACGCGCAATAATGAATGCTTCGCGTGGTTTCAGCCTCAGCCTCCTCCCCCACCCCACCACTCATCATGATGTACCACTACCTCCCCTCTCCAAAGAGCCGGTAATAAGATGTCATGGCTGTATACATGCCTCAGCTATGGCGACGCGTGCACCAACATAGGGCGAACACGACGGGTGCGCCGCTGGCTGCTTGGTAGGAGGCCCGCGTTCCTGCGGGGCCGACGACGCGCGGGGGGAAGGCGGCATCAGGCGACGCCGTGCCGCCCCGCCGCACGACCGAACACGACCAGCGGTCGCGCCGCCACCGCCACGCGCTTTCCAAAACCGCGCGGCCCGACGAGCACCCCCAAGCGCGAGCCACACCCCACGCCCCAAGAGGGCGGGCACGGGCGGGACCGAGCGAGGCAAGCGCCCCAAGGCGCGAGCCAGACACCCCCCCCCCCCCGGGCGGGTGGGCACAGGCAGGACAGAGCCCAGGAAAGAAGCCAAGAACGCCGTGCACGCGAGCCACCGCGCGCAGCACGCCCCGCAGGGCACAGGGTGGGCACGGGTGGGCAAGCGGATGCCGAGCGCGCGCCCATTTCTGCGCGCCTTGCGGGTTGACGCAAATATATTCCAACACCTGCGAGAACGCCGCGCGCGGGGGCGCACTCGCGCGCCCCCCGCGACCCCGACGCGGCGCAACCCCTCGGGGGGGTGGGGGCGTTCTCGCGCGCCCCCCCCCCCCCGCCTCTCCGCGCGCAGATGTGCGCCGCTCCTGCCGATCGCCCCCCGCGCGGCGCGGGCGCTCTCGCGCGCCCCCGAGCCGCGCCGCGCCACTTCCATGGCCGTGAACAATGAAACTGCACAGCCGCGCAAACCGCTCACGCTGCGAACCGCGCGCCCCCTGAAAAGCGCACTTTATGGGCGTTATAAGTGCCTCGGCCATGGCGGCGCGTGCACCAACATAGGGCGAACACGACGGGTGCGCCGCTGGCTGCTCGGTCGGAAGCCCGCGCTCCTGCGGGGCCGACGACGCGCGGGGGGAAGGCGGCATCGGGAGCCGACGCCCTGCCGCGCCCCGATGCACGCCCGATTGGGAAGCCCTCCCCCGCGCCCCGAACAGCCCGCGCGCGCGCGCTGTGCCCGCGCCCCGCCAGCCCGATGCACGCAACCGAGCGCTAGGGCACAGCTTCCCCCCCGGAAGAATCGGAATGCTCCACCGCGTGCTCGGCTGCGAGCATTTCGCCGGTCGTCTTCGCCGACGCGCAGGCGAAAGCGGCAACGGAACGCCACCCGCCCTGCGCGAATAGCGCGGCGGCGCCACCTCTGCAGCAGAAATTGCGGCGCCGGCACCCGCGCGCGCTGTCCGCCGCGCCTTATCGGAGCATCTCGTCTCCTCGCCCCCTGCGAGAAGCAATGCGTTCCCCGCTCGGCCGCCCTGGGTAGCCCTAAGCGCATTGCGCCGAGCTTGACCTGCGACGCAGCGCCCCCCGCGCGCGACTCTCCCGAGCAGGGCGGGGCCGCGCCATCGCCAGGGCATCGCGATGCGACGCGTCCGGGAATATCAGCGACCTGGGCCCTGACCGCCGCTTATGGAGGATGCGCGCCACGCAGCGGCGGCGGCCTCGACATGGGCGGCCGCTGCCGAATGCGCGTGGGGACGAATCGCGGCGGCGCGCCTTGCAAGGAGCAGACGCAGACCCGCCAAACCTGGTCTGGGCCCCTGTGGCACTTCCTATCAACCAGCTCGATGCATGCCTTGCGGGCGCCTTTCTCTGCGCATACCTGCCGCGCCCGCCCCGCGGGCCCCGCGGCCCTGCGGGGCCGCCGCTCCCTTGGGGCGCGCGCGCCAGGACGGGCGAGTGACCGTGGCATTGAGCCCCGCAAATTCCGAGCCGAAGCGCAAGCAGAACTGGCGGGCGACGACGACGAAAGCATCTGGCGCGCGGCGCGTCTTCGCCGGCCCAGCGCCCCCCCCCCCGCCGGCGCAGCGGGCGGGCGGGCCCGCCTGCAATGTCCCCGCGCCCGGCTTCGCTGCGGGCCCACTGGGCCAAATCGCGGACCTCCGAGCAACCGAAGCGCCGGGCGGGAGAATCGGGCCAGGACCCCAGGGAACGCGCCTGGACGGCCGTGGCCCTAGACTTGCACCTGCTCCCGGAAGCGAGCCCGGGTAGAATCCCCCAGGGGCACCGCGGCCAGCAAGCGCCCCCTCGCCGCCGGGGTGCCCAGGGGAGCCCCCAGAGGTCCTGAAGACCTCGTTTTTCGGGGTGCACGCGATTTTGAAGATGAGGACTACGTTTTGGTGTGTGTCCGGGGTTGTGGCGGTAAGGACTACATTTTGGTTATGATGTGTGAACGTATGTTACGGGTTGATGATGTTTGTGTGATGATGGTGCATGACGTTGTAATCTAGCATACATAGCATATACATCGTTTTATTATATATATATATATTACAACGTACACACCATATGTGCCATATATGCACCAGCTATATAGTATCATATACATACACAGCGGCTCCTTTTCTTCGATCTGCAGCGCGTGCAATAGTACACGGCACGGCGGTGTCGACCGCGCGTGTCCTGCTTGAAACCATCTAGCTTGCTAGAGGATTCAAAGACTGATCCGAGAAGGATCGAGAGAAAGAGGGGTATATATATACACACAAGTGTCGGCGAGCTTTAGAGCTTCGAGGAGCGAGCCAGAGAGGTCCGAGAGAGCCAGCGGTCCGCGAGCTTTTCCATCGAATGCGCGGGTGCAGCGCCACGGCGTCGACATGAGTGGGTTGACGTGCGTCGGCTCGTCGAACACCATCATTTTCTCCTCCTCCTCCTCCTCCTCCTTCTCATCGCCCCCATCCTCCTCGTCCTCATCCTCCCCCTCTTTTCCACCTTTTCCCATTCAGTTTCTTCCTCTTCCTCCTCACCCTCGCCCTCGCCCTCACCCTCGCCCTCCTCCTGTCTTCATTTTTCTCCTCCTCCTCCTCATCATCATCTTTCGCCTCCTCATTCTCCTTATCCTCCTCCTCCTCCTTTTCCTCCTCACCCTCCTCCTCCTCCTCCTCCTCCTCCTCCTCCTCCTCGCTTTCATTATTTTATTCCTCCTCCCCCATTCCCCCTCACCGCTGCGCCCTCTTCCAGGCGTCGGTTCCGAGACCTAGGCCGCGCACGGGAGGGGGGAGCTTAAGAGGAAGTGGATGAGGATGGTATAGGAGGAGAGAGAGGGAGGGGGGGCGGTGGGGCGACGATGATCCCGCGACAGAGGGGGCGCACCATTTCCTCCACTTGCAACGCTGTGCGTAATTTCAGCACGCCGCGGACGCGCGCCACCCCTGCACACCCTAAAATTAGGAGAGTGGAGGATTGTGTGCAACAAGTTTCGGGTTTCGATCGTTCGCGTCTCGGCTGGCGCGGGGCACAGGGGAACGAAACAGGGGAAATGAAAACTGAAAAAGGGCAGCCTCAAAACTTCAAGATGCCACCCGTAACAGAGACCTCCAGCGCCAGGGGAGGGGGAGGGCGGGAGGGATTGGGGTGTCATGCTATGGTGTGCGGCGAAGCGGAACACCCCC